TGCAAGCACAAAAGTGGTGCAACTGAAAACCCAGGGGTTTTACTGTCCCTCCAGAGGGACTGAAAATACCTCCTTTCGTTTATACCTAAAATCCCAAAGTCCCAATAGCCTTTCTGCTGCTAGACTTTCACCTCCAAATGTGTTTACCCTTTCCTAATGTACTTTTACCCAAAGAAAAAAAACTATTAAGAAGTGCCCAAGTGTTACCTATGATATCAAAGCATACATTCAAAGCCAGTTTGACCAACTGATACCATGATCCATGTGAAAAAAAACCTTTGGTATTTTTACAGATATCAAATCCTGGAATAAATGCAGTTGTAATTTTAGGTTTCTATTTTAACAGTCAAAGGAGACACATCTGGCAATAATCTACAAATAAATATAGTGTCTCCATTCTTAGTTTCTCCTCCAAAACACTACCTAGGACATTTTTGCAGCATGATTCATACAATCAACATGATACATTACAATGCCTTTCAAATAATTCTGAATTCTCAGTTCATTCAATAAAGAACTCGTTTTCGAAAGAGAAAAGGGAACATGCCCTGCCAGAAAACTTGCTTTATTGACTCAGCCCTGCTGCCAGCAGGAACAACGTGGTGAAGCAAACTCCACGATTTCGAAAGCATTTTTTTACAGCAAGGGCAGAACGAGAAAGAGGCTTATTTACCGAAATGTGAGATTCCACAGGTGAGGCCAGAGACGGTCTGAAATCCTCTTCCTTTAGTTCCAAAAGTTTTAATTTACGACGAAGCCGCTAATAATCCTTTCAGGCTGCCAGGTACAATGCACGCCATATCTCAGTCGTGTTTTCTTTCGCCCTTTTGCAGCGTAACTTTGTTATTTGCATAAAGCTTAGTCCTGGCCTATGGGACTTTTTGAACATCTACATGTTAGATTAGCTGTCTTGACATGCTCTATCAAGCATGACATCATGGATCTCCATGGCAACCTTAGCCACACCTGCCCAGATGCCAGAGTTACCTGTAATGTTCAGACCTAAATGAACATAACAAAAAACCTCCTCAATCACCATTTTCTAGGCACTCAGCCCTGCACAGGCACCAGAATGATTTGGTTTTAGTCTTTAATTCATCGAAATCTGTTTTTGTTTGCCTATAAATTTTTTCTTCACTGGCTGAAACACTAGAGCTGCTCCTGACCCTATCTCCTGGACAAACAACAACAAAAGAAAGCTGTAGCAAACTTCTTCCACCTCACTTTCTTACCACAAGCTCATAAGCTCCTGCTCTGAAAAACTACACACTCATTTTTGTTCTCTGCCCCTCAGAAAGGTTTTTTTAGAGAGGTGACTTGTAAAACAGGTTCACTGCAGGGACTACCCTCCTCCCATGGCGAGGTTAGCATTTTAACCTCTTAATTGCTAACTCGTTTTCATCCTTGCAGCCACTGACCCAGCTTTTACACTTGTTCCAGCTCTTTCCTTTTCTGCTGATGGGAGTCAGTCTCACCTAAGCAGGAGTCTGTGTCCTGCCATGAGCTCCACAGCAGTTTCAAACTTAAGAAGACCCAGACTATTTCCCTCTTCCTTGCTCTTTTTGCTCTCTGACTTTCCTGGGGATTACGTTAGCACCTTCCTTTCTTTGACACAGACAGCCTTGGCAGAGGAAAGGTATCCAAGGCTCCTGCAGAAACTTGCACTACCTACAAAAAAAAAAAAAAAATAAAAATATTTTGTTCCTCAGCTTTCCAGGCTTCCAGGTGGAGAGAGCTCTGGTGCTCAGCTGTGGGCTTGACTTGAAGGAGAGCTGCTGGGCTGTGGGTGGCAGAGCTGCAACTGCAGGGTGTTGCACTCCCCTGTGGGTGTTTTGGGGTGCATGAGGCATCTCACATCTGTGCACACACACACCCACCCCAGCTGCTGCAAACTCATGTTCCAGTTTACCACAGACCAGCTTAGATCCAGGCTATTTGCCTTGCAGCAGTATCCCAAGCTCCTTGCGCAAATAAAATCGGCCTAGCCCCTGTCTCTGTGAGCTTTCCTTTCCAGAATAAGATATCACAAACAGGGCAACAAACCCTGTGGGTGGAGGAAGGATGATCTGTGTGCACAGCTGGGAGGTTTCAGGTCACCATGTTAGCTAACCATCAGTAATCCCTGCTGGCATTTTACCTGGCCGTGATTGTACTTCTCATTTGTGACAGGTTATCAAGAGTAGAAATGGGTCTTCAGGAGGCACATCCAGGGAGGGATTTATCTGAATAAATGAAGCCTGGAGGAAACCATTAGTATATAGTGGAAGATGCAGACAACATTCAGGGCTGACCTTGCTGGTGAAGGTGATACAGCATGATCTGACAGCACCAAATATTTTTTTTCCCTGATATTTATTTTCTGTAAATCAGGGGTCAGGTTGCCATGCTCAGATACTGATAGATAAAATGGACAAGAGAAGAAAGCCCACCAAAAACCAAAAGACAATTACCAAACTTGGTTTTCTTGCCCATATTTATTAGTTGTGTACCTGACAGGGTTTAGAGCAACCTGGAAGAGAAATTATATGATATACAAGGGACTATCTCCTGACTGAAAATGCTGGGTTTTTTATGTTTCAGCTGCACCATTTGACAGAGAGATTAGAAAATGGTGTCGCATTAGCTACTAACCTTGATAGACTTCCTACAGTGGGGAAATTCCCACCATGGACAATGTTGCCACTTTTCAGATACTGAAGCAGTTGGAGAAAAAGGGAGAAAAGGAAGATGGAAAATAAATAATGACATTTTAATTCATGCCTTCCCATACACCCCATCAAGTTTTGTTTGCGATACATGCACGTGTTACATATGCAAGGGTGGAAAAAAGGAAGTATGGGTGCTAAACACACATGTATGCCCTCCAGCACAATATTATATTACGGTCTTATACATACACATACATATATATACACACACACATACAGCTATGTGTATATATATACACATACCTATGTGTATCTATATACAGTTACATATAAATACACAAAACCACCCACAATACACAGATACGTGGCTGTCCATGCATAAACACAATTGGTAAGAAAATTCCCCTCTGAACTGTAATGCCATGATCATAATAGTTAGATAGCTGATGCATCACACATCAACGAAAAAAATGTCTTACAATCAACATGGTTAACTTATTTCTGCATGTTTTAATGTGGTTTCTGTTTGATTTATCATTTAAGTAATGCTGAATGGATGGTGTTTTCATCTTCCCCATTTCCAAGAAAGATATTTTGATGCTCTGATAGCAATTTTAAAGCTATTTTATTTTAGAAAGATTTAAAAACTCATTACATACAATGCATACGTCTAATCATCAAAAAATAGAAGCAGGAGAATGAATTTTACCCTCAATAAATTAGCAAGGATGACACATTTTAAACAAATATCAGGAACAGTTACTGCATTCCTTCTGTAATTTACTGCCTTCAGAAAAGGCTCGAATTACAAAATGTGTAGGGTGTAATGCTGTGGGCTGTTCAAACTGGGTTTGCAGTGTCTGCAACACTGGAACTAAATATTTACATGACTCCAAAAGATCTAATCTCTGGATTTTACCCCCCTCCCACCCCCTTTATTTAATTTGTATGCTATCTTTATCCACCACCCAGCACATTCCACACAGTCACTGAAGTTCATACAAGAGATAAGTGGGGAGAAAAAAAAAAATCAAGACTTTAAAAAGAAAGGAGGAAAGTTGTTTAAAAATAAAGAATAGATCATCCTTGTTAGAGCTGAAGTCTTGCAGCAATTTTATCTGGATACATACGGATTCTAATAGTTGCATTCTGAGGCTGTGATAGCACCTGGGATCTCTAGAGACCCAGTCAAAGAGAAGTTCTAGGGAGGAGTTAGCAAATTACAATCTTTCCAAGCCTGTAACAACAGCCTAATCTCCAAAGCCTCTCAAGTTTGGAAGGCTTCAAAGAGACTGGGAATTCAGGAAGATCTCCCATAACAGAATACAGTATTTTTCCAACTTGTTTTTATTCCTTATTTACAAGTAATTAGCTATCAGTGCTGAAATACCTATAAACCCCTAACGGGAAAAAAAAACTTTGACAAAAGGTTTGCTGCCAAACATTTGTTAAACTGAAAATAATGAGCACAAGATTTTTGAGACCAAACTCTAAATACTGAGAGTTGATTTTACAAAATGAATTAAGGAATAGACAGTAGATTGTCTGTAAAGCTAAACAGATTAAACTCTGTCGTTGCACTCAAAACCAGAGTCCAGGGTTAGGCTGTGAAGAGATCCTTGCATGGCATTGCCTGAATTCAGAAGGTCGGTATGTCGGCAGCCTCCACCTGCTCTGAGAGATACATCAGCATGACACATCATCTCTGACCCTGTATCTACTTTTTGCTGCTGAAAAGCTGAAAAACAACTGCAGGCAGGCAAGAAGCAAACTACCTTAAAGTACACTGCTGACAGACCAATGTGGGTGTCAAAGCTGCTTGGAGGAGGCAGATACTTATGGGTAAGCCTGTTCTGTTTGTATTATAAAACTTGAAAATAGAAAAGAAAGCAAATGAAAGGGAAACAGAGCCAGTGAAATCATACATACACACAGTGCAGATATTTTCTTTTCTCCCGGGCAGTGGTACCAATACTGAAAGTGTAACAGAAGTTAACAGCTGTTCCATATTTTCCCTTCAGCTGTGAAAAGTAAGTGGAGACCCATATACTAAGATCAAGAGTCTCACCTTCACCCCTGCCTCTGTGTATACTCTAAAAAAAATGACAAGCTCTTCAGAAATGTCAGTTTCAACAAACAATTCCAAGGTAATATTGAATAGATTCATTTTTATTATTGGTTTGTTGGTTTTTTTTTTCTAATTTCAAGACAGCAACTGAATTGCAGACCACATCAAAAAACCTGTTTAATACTTTGTTACATTCTCACCTTTCGTAATGAGGTAACACTCAATTTTGTAGGGGTTATAAGAACTGTTAAATAAAAAGCAAGACACAAATTTAACTTCCATACCTGATCTCTCAGCCTCTCCTGGTGTCCCATTATTGCTGTGGCATGGTGGGGATATTTCTGTTTCAGATGCTCAAGAAAAGCCTCTCTCTTCCTGTCCATTTCTGAGGTTTGCATTCCCAGTATTTCTTTGGAACTGCGAGGGCCACCTACTGTATGTCTTCGAGGGATGTTGCGGGTGGACTTTGAATTAGAAGAAGTGTGACTGTTCGGGGTCGAAAGGAGCTCTTTAGATCGGAGACATTCTGCATCGTCTACTGATGTTATATGCAAACTGGTTTTTGTCTGGTCTGCAAAAAAAACAACCAAAACCAAACAGTATATTGTAAGAACTCAATCCCAACATTCACATAAGTAAGAAAAAGGAAAAAAAGACTGATATAAAAGCTAGGTTCTTTTAAAAGTCTGGTAGTGTGCATGTCCTGCATCATTAGGCATATACACGTTGTAAGAAGTGGCCTGGAAATAATTCCTTATATAAGCTATGCACATAGTGATATACTTCTAACACACAACTGCAGTATTGCCCCACAGAAAAGTGAGCATCATTAAATTAGATGCTCCTTTTATATCATCTTTACCTATGTGACTTGAAAAGAAGATCTGACAGGGCCCTTATTCCCTGACCTTTAAAATCTACAGGATGCTTTCCACAAGAAGAAATGGGTTTCTTCAATAGGCTCCAGTACACTTAATGGCTCTATAACTAGTATCCTTAAGGATGCCAGCTGATAAAATTCCTTTGACAAAGCAGATTTGTAATCCTTAATCTTTTTTCAGTGTATTTTCAACATGTTCTGAAATACCTATGAAATAATAAGAGGGTTTCAGAGTCTCTTTTTCCTGATTTCTGACTGTGGCCTGGTTTTAAATTTCATGGATCTCCCTTGGATTTTATATGTCTCAGGACAGCGGGCTGGAAAATTCTACATCATTTTTTCAATAAACCATTTTTTAAGAAAGAGAATAAAAGCAAGTTTTGTGTGATATAAAAAAAAAGAAGGAAAAACCCCTCTTAGATAAATTTTACTACTCTGAAATCCACTTTAAGACCAAAGACCACGACAGCATTTGTAGAGATAGGCAGACACTGTGAGTATTTAAGTGCTGGCTTATCTTCAGGTAACTCTGTAACACGAACCCTCTGGTGTTCGAAAAACTGTGGTCTGGAGCCTTGTCACCTAATACCTTTGAAAAAATCCCTCATTCCTTTGTCAGCAAAGAAAAAAAACCCCAAAAACAAAACCTGAAGCATTGCAAAGTCCTCTCCAAGTCTGATGTGGCCTTGCCCATCTTTCCCAGGCAGTATCAGATGTCCTTGTGAGTGTTAACCCTTCCCAGCACGTCCCCAGGAGCAGGGAGCTCCTTCCTCTACCTGTTCAGAATAAATCTTTATTTCTCTCTGTCTCACACTTTTCACCTCAGAGCTCTTTATCCTCACAGCGACTGTTTCCCCTGTGAGCTGCCATAATATGGCACTGCTGTTTGGAAACAGGCGCCTACTCGCTTCTTTTTATGGTTCAGTCAGTCATTTTGACACCCTGCCTACCACTTGCCTCAGGATTTTATGCTGAGGATTTCTCAGATTTCTGGTGTGCATTGTCAATCGCCTGCCACGTCCCATGGAACATCAAGCCCAGGTAATAAAGCAAATCCTCTTGGTGGAGCGGCTGTTGGTGTGATGTCCCATCAGTTTATACAGGGAACCAATTCCCTCGGGTTTTGCAAAAGAACTTGGTTCTCAATGACCTTACATGTTTCTAGAAGCTCCCTATACTGCTCAAGGATTCCAAAATTTTCAACAACACCCTCTTGTTCACGTTCATGGAATCTTGTCCTGAAAGCAGATCCAGACACAGGAGCCCAGACCACAGCTGGCACCATGCTTTGATGAGCACAGATCCAGGCACAACTTTGGGAACAGGTTTGGTTCACAGGGAAGTCTTACTCTCACAGAGTTTCAAAATGTCATCTGTGATCTCTGCAGCACCCTCTGAGACCTTAGTAGCACAATCCTGGCTAAACGTTCAGAGTAGCAGCCTCATGTGCACATACACACAGACATATGCACTTAACTTTTCCAAGCACAACTCAATTAAAAAAGCATCCATCCTCTCTGAGTATTGAAAATTCAGAGCACCACCTGTCAGGTACACTCAGCTGGTTTGAGAAAAACAGCAAACAGGAGAGTTTTGCTTGCAAGAAGACAGCATTGGCTACTCCAGATACGCTCAGCCAAAATGGTTTCTGAAAGCTGCACAGTCATTTCAATGGACTTTACCCAGGAGGAAAAAGAGGGGGTCTGAGGCTGGATGGAATTTACCATCTTTAATTTGTTGCACCAAGAGCCCACAGGTTATATCCCTGAGGCTGCTGGAACAAAGGCAGAAGACATAAATAAGGGATTTTCTCAGAGCTGGAGGGAGTCAGCATGAGAGTAGGTGACTGAGTGCAGCAATTTCATATAAACCCTCGAAGTACAGTCACAGCAGCAGTTTCAATCATTGAATTGATGGCAGGCATTTCCTCAAGAAGGCAGGCAAACCTATGCTGACAAGCACAACTGAGAACTCATGAATGTGTATTTTGGGTCCTAAACCTCTTCCATCCAAAGTCTTTCCCTCCTCTGCACTGCAGCCATTTCATTAGTTTAAGAAAGAGCTAATTATTTGGAACATAAGGAGACATAACAAGTAAAGTGTTTTACCACTGTTATTGGGTGAAACTTTGAGAAGGAATCAAAAATAATGCATTTTTCTTATGCTACATTAGAAAAATCAACAAATTCTCTTATTTTTCTTTCATGTATTTGGAAAATACTGTATAAATACCAGTGAAAAGAAAGGAATGTAAACTATGCAAACTAATTGCTTGCCTTGCCAGAGAGCTGACTTGGGTATCCAGCAGGATCCTGATCCTGTGGTATTACAGCAAACAATGGCACATGACTTTCTTTGCAAACCAAAATCTGTTGTGTTTGAATATGGGTCTTTTCCCTAGTAATTGCTGAAAAAAATCTTTCTGGCCACTTCCTAGATAGGGATAAATGTTTTCAGTGGTGAGGTTGAATGCTAGGCTGGTGAAACCAATCTATGTATCTCAAGGCACACCAGCTCTACAGATGCTGTATGGGCCACAGTGCTACAGGAGGAGAAACTGAGAGAGGTTTTCTGGATGCTGGAGTTGCTCAATAACATTGTGGGGAAACCTTCCATATCTTCCAAGTGAAGATAATAGGCCTAGCAAATCAATCTCCACAGATAACTGAGAAATGTATAAAGGATCATGTGATGGTTCCCAGACCAGAGCTAAGAGTAGGAAAAGGATAAATTATGCAAGTACCCTCCTTGGAAAAGGAGCAAAGAGAAGCCAGTGGAAAACAAAGAGGTGTGAGATAAGCTTGTCTCTCTCTCTCCCTCCCTCATATTCAGAAGCTAAAATCTGAAGGTCTATCTGTTCAATAAACCAAGCAAGTCTAGAGGGCAGCTAAATGCAAGATTTGCTGATTGACAGAAAGGACTTTGGCTATCCAAAGGCTTGAGTAACCCTTATGCTTGAGTTGATTCTCTGATCTGAAAACAAATTTCAAGATTGCTTAACACTGCCCATTGCTACAGTGGATGTGACTACAAGGAAAAAAGTCCTTCAACACATTCTGGTATGTAATTCTTCTAAGGCACACCCTCCATGAAGTCTACAAAGGTCAGGAAAGTCATTTTGCTTCATTACTTTAAATGCTGTGAGATTTTAATAGTCTTGTTCTGCAACTCAGGTGATATGAGAGAAGAAAATTTTCAGAATTATTTCAGAAAAGAACAAGTGTGGACCTGAACTATACTGATACTGTGAAGCTGAGCCTTGAAGCAAACCCCACTCAATACTAAAAGTTTAAAAAATAACTCAAATTTAACAGCATTGAGTCAAACCCACCTCCACTGTATTTATGCTAGTAACAAATGTGAGATTATTTGGAATCTTTCAAATTTACTCCATTGTCTTTACAATTAGCTCTCTTTCCAAGGAACTTTCAAATGTCAATTTTGGATATAGGCCAAAACTACTAAATTTGGTGATGAGCTTATAGCACTCAACATTTTTGGGAATCATAGGATCAGTCTGGTTAGACCTTTGTTTGTATCTCGGGCAGTTTCATACAACCCATACAGAAGAAATGTTACTGAAGGACTTTTTTATTTCCTATTCAGACATAACAATTCAGTGAAGATTTCTGTCCCACTAAAGATAAACATACACAGACACAGGTGACCTGCACTGCCCAGTATTTTAACATAAAAAATGATTCATAATAGTGTCAAGCAACCAAAACCCCCAAGAAAAAAAAAAGGAAGAGGATTATTTCCCTCCTAAATTGTCTATGCACTATTTTCTGATATCGCATGCTTGTAAACTTGTGTGTTTTTGTTTTTCAACCACGTGCACCACTTGTTTCGCAGAAACACAGTAACAGAACTTTTCCTGAAGTGCCTATGAGGAATACAATGTGCACGAAATGGGAATGTTCACAGGTGCCCCACAAATACTGTAATAGACACAGATTAGATTAGGTGTTCATCATGCTACCTGAGTATTATGTCCCATGTGCACTAGCCCAGGTATAATTCGCCAGGAAAGAGTTTTCATTGACTTTACACGCAGTAGACAGCGCAGCAGTGAGCGCAGGACACACCGAGGCAGACTCGCCGTGCAAACCACGGTTACACATTCCTGGCTTCGCTCCAAAACAAACCCGAGCGGTTTCACACAAAAGTAAACTAACCCTGTCACAATCTGCCGTGGATCTCGCCTTTTTTTAACAGACACCCCGAGGTAAAGAGGAGCTCAAACCCAGCTTTACGAACCCTTTCCCTGCCCTAGGTGAGGCTGGCGGAGCATTTGAAGGGAGCGGGAGGCGCTTTCTGCCCCCGAGGGAGCAGCACCCTGGGCACGGGCAGAGTCCCGCACCGTGACAGCCGCACGGCTTTGGAGGGGGCAGAACCCTCTCCGAAGAGAACCTTAAACTCCCAAACTCCAAGTATTAGGGAACTCTGCAGAGCCATTAGCACAAGGAAGGCATGCTTTTTTTTTCCCCTTTTCCCCCTCCACGCATTCTGCCTCCAGTTTTCAAAGCAGCGACGAGGGGCACGCTTAAAAACCCAGCTCGTCTCTGCCTC